GCAGGATCTCAAGACTTTGGGCCATCCTGGACTGTTTTCCCAGGCCACAAGCAGGGAGCTGGATGGGAAGTGGGGCTGCCAGGACTAGAACCGGTGACCATATGGGATGGTGGTGCATGCAAGGCAAGGACTTGTAGCCACAAGGCTATCACACTGGGCCCAATCAATAATTTTGTTTTAAAGGAAAACTTACCAAGGTGGTAGCCAACAGTGTAGATACATAGTAAAGCAGACTTTTGGATCACATAGTAGACTTTTCAAAGGAATATAGGAAGATGAAAGAGGAGAAGGGAGTTTGAGATCTAGATGTACAGTTTAGTTTCTATATGCTTGTTAAAAACCTTATATATCCCAAACTGTAGCTTTAAAAAAATCTGTAAAAAGTGACAGACAAGATTTGGCTGATATGTCCCTTTGTAAGGATTTTATAAGAAATCCCTCTGAACAAAGTAAAGCCACAAGGGACCCAGACCTCAGACAGGAGTTATTTTCAATCATAGCTTAACATAACTGTTTCAGGAACATATTTTGTTCCCTGTTAGTTGGCTAAAGAACTAACAACTTATTAAAAGTGACAAGTGCTGCTATTGTCGCTGTTACTGAAATGGATTGCTTAGAGTGCTTCTAAGATGTTCACTGGAAAGGAAAGGAGGAGGAAGGGGGAAGAAGTTATATTACAATGAAGGTGGTTTAATGAGCATTCAGCTATTGTAAGAATAAATATGATTATCATTGTCATTATATTTGATGGACAGATTGCTGTTGCAATCACTGTCTTTTGTTCTGAGAAGTTGGATATTCCAAATATGCACTATGCTAAACTCAACTCATACATCAACAATTATAAATGTTGATTCTTTACCTTCCAAATCTACCATTTGACTTCCAGGGGTCCATAATTGATGCTATGTAAGTACTGTTTTGAAACTTGCAAAAGTTATTAAAATTTAATTTCCTTCAAATGGCTATCTTTTTATTATCTTTCTGCCTGAAATGTCAGCCTATAAGGTAAATAGAGTTCGCTCAATCATTTTCATCTTACATCCAATGATTAATTCTGCTTTCAAGTATTTATAGCAGCAGCAACAGCAGAAGCACCAACAGTAAGAGGAACACTGATAAAATAGCTTATATTTATGGAATCTTTACCAGTTAAAATATGCTGGAAATAATGTTTTCATTGTGTAAGTGATTTATCCTTACCACAATCCCAGGGGATAGGCTTGGTTTAACTATTAACCACATTTTACTTTGGGAGATTCAGAATAGTGAACCTGTGTAACTTCACTCGGATTTATCAATAGCAATTTGCCCACAGCCATGAAATCAGTTGGTTTTGGAGTCTATGTGCATGATCTCTAGGCCATAGCACAGCCATAAGCGCTATCTGTAATATCCCCAGCAGCAGAAAGGCAGTTGCTATTTTAATGACACTGTATCATATATATTTTTTGTCTTCTCTATTTCATACTGTCTTGTGGGTACTAATCATTTAGAATAGTCAAGGATAATGAGAAGTGAAAGTTGTACAGCCTTTATTTTAGTAGGGACTGATCATATCCTCTCAGGAAGCATATAACAGATTTTGGGGGGAATCTGAGGCTAATGCAGTAGGAGACTTTTGATTTTGATGTTATAACTCGATATGGTTATAGAAAGTCTGGTTAACTTTCAGTCACATCTAGGTTTCTTCCAACTGCTTATTTATGTGGTGATGCACCTCGTGTCCAGATTCAAAATCTAAGAACTTACAGCTCTTTTGTGACGTTACCTAAGGTCTTTTTTTGTCTCATTTCCCTTACTGTAAAATAAGCATGTTTACTTCATATAATTATTGAGAGAAATAAATGCCATTCGTAAAATTTTTAGTGCGCTGTTTGATACTCTTTGGGGACAAATACCATTTTAAGAAGTACTGATAGTAAAGTGAGGATTGTAGAAAATGTCTTAGGATTCCCCTCTTCAAAGATAATGAGTTAGGTAAGGCATTAATGATAAAACTCACGATTGTAGTTACAATATATGTGATATAATTTTCTTGAACTAGGTAAAAGCACTTAATTTTAAAAACACTCCAAGATGGATGAGATCCATGTGGTCTAGAGAACATGTATGATATACTCCATGACAAGAATATTGCTTTAACAATATTTGGAGATGGAGAGGGACGTGGATACTGCCTTAGGACCATGCCTTTTAGATCAGGTAAATGATAAGAAAAAACCAGAGTCAGGAATAAATGTATGCACTTACAGGACAGTTCTCAGAGAAGAGAGTTTGCTCTGAGAGTATTGGGAGGCCAGGTCAGTAAGGAAAGTAAGGAAGAAATAGGCTTTTGTAATGCTGCCTAAAACCATATGATTTTAGGACCAGCATCTCAGATGGGATCAAGTCCCAGCTTCTCCACTTCTGATCCTGTTCCCTGCTTGTGGCCTGGAAAGGCAGCAGAGAATGGCCCAAGTCCTTTAGCCTCTGCACCCAATGTGAGGGCAGCTTCTGTCTGCTCCCCGCCCTCCCCTCCCCCCTCCCCATTCAGAATGGCTCAGCTCTGACCATTGCAGCCATTTTGGGGGAGTGATCCAGTGAATGGAAAAAAAAAAATCTATCTATCTGTATAATTCTGGATATCTAGTAAAAATAGCCAAATCTTAACAAAGCAAAACAAAAAATGCATTTCTTCAAAGTATTCTTTTTCCTCAGTACCCTTCCTGGGAAACTTTGGGAAAACCATGGCCATTTCTTGCCTTAAAGGTTATTTATTGAAAGTGAGGATGGGCAGAAATGGAGAAAGAGAGGTCTGTCATTTGCTGATCCACGGTGTAAATGTAGTAGCATGGTCTGGGATTATGAACTCTACCATAATCTGCCGCTTGGGTGATAGGCACTCAGATAGTTGAGTCATCATCTACTACTTCCCAGGTGGATTAGCAGGATTAGTAGCACAGCATCTGGAACTTGGACCAGTACTCTGGTGAGGGATGTGTGTGTTAGAAGCAGCAGCTGTGCTATGACCATTCTTGAAAGACCATTTCAAATATGACCAATTGCAAGAACACTTTTCTGCCAATTGAAAGGATGTTTTCCCTCTAATGAATTCTCATTCCACGTTGTCTTTAATTTTCTTATCTACCATGGCCACACGTGCTGGGTTTCCATAGGTCATTCTCAGTAATATCTGTTATTCACACTGCAATTATACGAAGAGGACCCTTTCACTGTCTACTGTGTCCTGTGAAATAATAAAATTTAAAGTTGCCTACTCAAAACTCTTTATCACTTCTCCCATGTGTTTCTGTTAGTTAGCTATTGATGTCTGATGGCTCCTATTAGCATCTTCATGACAGCAAAGACCATCTCTACTAACCTTTGTATTCCCAAGGTAGAACCTAATAATTATTAAATGAATTTAAATAAGAAGTCTGAAAACTCTCGGAGTTTAAATTTATATACTTAGGCTGTTTGGTGTCTAACAACATCTGGCATTACTCCTGAATGTGCTAGCTATTTGATAGTTCTGTAAATTTGATTAGACAGCTACAGGTTTAAGTTGTTTCTGGGGTTTGCTGGAGATGAATTTGGCACACTTAGAAGTGTGTCCTCATAAATTTAATCTTTGTCTTTCAGTTCTTTCTACCCTCTGCATGTTTCTGTCTGATAGTCTGGTTTAATTTTTAGACTTGACCAAATTCTTTTGTTGTAAAATTTCAAGTGCCAAATCAAGTCATAAGTATGTCCGTGCTTTACCTCAGTTGTTTGTGACTCCATTTTACATAATTTACCCCTACTCCTTATGAATGCCAATGTAGGGAATTAAAAAAAAATTACTGAAGATGTATGACACTTCCATTGATTGCTGTATGAATTCAGCAGCTCACTTAAGTAACTACATTAAATTTTTAGCTTCATTTCAAGTAGTGTTATTTCTCTGGAATTAATCACTGGGATTTCTACTCTTATATTCCTCTGTGATTTAAGTGGATCTACTTTTTTTTTCTTTTTAAATTTCTAAATCAGACTTGCAAATGTTAAAGAGAGTAAGATGCATGCACTCATTTATTGTTTAATTAGAGAGTCATTTGAACAACTCTATACCCTCCCTGATTGTTGACAGGAAAGGATAATTATCTGTGAAAGCTTAGTTCCTATTTCAGAATCTTTTTCCTAATTTGCAGTATTACATATCAGCACATACTGGACAACTCTGAGGTTAAATTGTGAACCTATAAAAATGAACTATAAGCAAACTTATAGTTAGACTCTTGACACCGTGAAATTGTGCCCCGAGAGTCAGTCTGTTTCCTGCTCACAGCATACTCTGCACTTGCCAACACTTCCTACAATCTGTGTTACTCCTTTGAAGACACTGTAGCAAACACTTCATTGCCAGGCTTTATTAGCTTGACCTCCCTCTTTAGTTTGCCACCTTTATTCTAAAGAAACTGTTGAAACTCATTTAAAAAAAAAAAAACTTAGAATAAGATTTGGCTACCTCTGCACTGTCAACATCTGGGATAAGCTAGTTCAATATGGTAGTTGGCTGTCCTGTATGCTTAGCTGAGCAGCTGTGCTGGCCTGTGTCCACTCGATTCCACTTGCATTTTCTGTCGTCAATTGTGATATCCAAAAACATCCTCAGATACTTAAATGTTTCTTGGGACAGAGTACATAATTGCACCCTGATGGAAATCACTTCCTTGTAACTTCTGTGCAGCCTTCTTCAGTGAACGGATTGAGCAAGGACCTTACAATGACTCACATGAGATCTTTTATTTATTTCTCGTACACTCAATTTCTTTCTCCTCTACATGGTGAGGAGCATGCCATCTTTCTTTCAGAGTACAGAGATTTCGACTATGTCAGGCACAGAAATTTCCACCTACATATGTAGTAAAATGTGGTGTCACTGCCTTACTTGGTGAGTTCCAGCTAATTTTTCCAACATAAATGATTCCAAACTTAAGAATGTTGTTTCTTCTCTCTCCCCACCTTCCTGAGAACAGAACACGATGAATGTGGAAGCGGGCAGCACCACTGTGATGAGAATGCCATCTGCACCAACACTGTCCAGGGGCACAGCTGCACCTGCAAACCAGGCTACGTGGGGAACGGGACCATCTGCAGAGGTAGGTTTGCTGGCCTTGAGGTGTGTGATCAGCTGCCTCCCTGTTTGGTTTCTTGATGTTCTGGTGGCACACTACTGCTGATGTAACTGGATGTAGATCCTGTTGCTGTTCATGGTCTGGCAAAAGCACAACACACTAAAGCCAGTGGAAAAGTGATTCGTATTTAGTTTTGTGATAGACAGAAAATCGTGTTGGTTTAAGTCAGAAGAATGATTTTAAAGCTTAGTGGTTATGATCATCCCTGAATTTGTGGTGGAACCTCCCTTAACTGCTGTAAGCTTTCCTTTTCTGTGCCATTTGTTCAGTAGCCATTTACTTCATGTCCACATTTACTTCATGTTACTTGGGTAAGAAATTGAAAGTTTTACCCACTGCCTATACTTGGGAGCTGTTTGGCAGTCTGTAGCTCTGCCTTTTGTCAGCACTGAGATTAAAGTTACATGCTTATAAGGCATGTAGAATTTGGCTGCTGCCAGCTCTTAGTGGGCATCTGTCCCTGCTCTCACCTTCAATCTCTCTGCCCCAGCACACAATTTCCCTGTTCTTTCTTGACAGTGCTATAGTCTTAGCCTTAAGGCTAATTTCCCTCATGTCTGCTCAGATGTTTCCTCATTGCAGAAGCATTCTTTAAGCACCTGAAATAGCACCCCCTTTGGGTTTTCTTTAATGAATACAACCTGACAAACTAACATACATCAGTTTCTCTCTGTGTATTATGTGACTACTTACTGGAATATAAGATCTGCAAAGTGACTTTTTATCTTATCCCCCAACTCTGTCCCTAGCAAGAAGGATGCCTGGCACATTGTGTCTGTTAGTTAGATAGCAGCTGGCTAAATTGATCATAGAAGAAACGGACACAATCACATTGAGAAAGAGGAAACATGGCCATGAACGTAGGAGATATTCTGCAAGGTAGATATTCATATTCTAACATTTTAGAGGTGGCAACATTAAGGCATATAGAGGTTAAGTCAGTTGATCAAGGACACACAACTAGCACCTTATCAGCACTCCTTTGCAGAGATGAAATTCTTAGAAGGAAACAGAAATTATAATGACTGTGTCACCACATTGTATTTGGGGGAATTTTAAAAGCATTGGTTTTGTTCTGTGTTTGTGAGGGTGAGGGAAATAGCCTCAAATGAGACTGACAAATGTTCATTGGTAAAATATTTTGTGAACAGAAATCGGAAAATAAGTGTTCGAAGTAGGCATCCCCTAATTACTTCAGTTTTACTAATGCAAATAAATTCTAAAATGCACAAGCAGACAAGGTTGATTCCTAACAAATTGTGGAGGATTTTTGGTTGTAAAGTGTATATATGTTGATGTTTTTGTGTTCACTGAACACTAAATGAATTAGACTGTCCATTATTAATGGAATGATTATAATTATTGTGATGCATTTGTGTCATGAAATTCAATAATTTAGAGTCTATTTATATGGAGATATATATATATATATGGAAACACATAAAAATACACATACCCAAACACACTGAAAGTTCCCCTGGGAAACATTTTCAGGAAAACAGAACAAAGAAAAAATCAGGTTGCAGGATATACATCCAGGATTATTAGTTATAAATTGATTGTTTACAAATATCTTACACAAATTTATGTAAATGCACAGACTAGGAACACTCAAACATTCACCTGGTTTTCTCTGTGTGAACATTCCTTTATTACTATGAAGTCTGTCTTATATGGATTTGTATCTATGGAAAATTATGCATGTAATTTTGTGTGTTTTTGAAAGTTTCATGACATAAATGAATTAGCTCAGTTTTTTTTTTTTTTTAAAAAAAGACTGAGAATATTTTCAATGTAAATCCAGAGCTAAAACATTAGCTCATGGATTGTCAAGTCCACAACTGGCAGCTTCCTGCCGCTGCTGTAAATCTAGAGAACAGGAGCGGGATTGGATTTGAATGCATTTTTACCAGAATTATGTTCCCTCATAAAGTAATATTAACTGCTGCTGTTCAGTGAATTTGTGTTTGCCTAGGCCTCTCTTGCCATTGTCATAAGTGGCAGCTTCACCTATGTGGAATTTTAAAGTACTGCTGTGAGAAATATAAGTTCAAATAATGTTCTGGTGTCTGCAGTCTCTAATGGGAAACATATATTCTCTTCGAAGTTATGAAGTAGGGAATGTAATTTTCTGGAAGCGGTTCTACTAGCCTATCACATGGATGTCCAATAATTAGGAGAGATCCTATATTTTAGAAATGTTGCATGAGGAAGCAGTATCACAGAATTAGTTGAAGTTTGGAAAACTGAAATGTAGGTCTACTTTAATCTCTAAAGCATTCTTTTATATTTCTTTATATATGAAAATTTGGTTAGTATCACTTTCTCTGTTTATCCAACAATGTTATGATAAAGAATTGCAAAGTGGATACATGTTCATAATTTTTATTGCTTAAAGTGGGACACAAAGTAAAAACAGAGTTATTAGTATTAAAATGAATAAGAATGGGGAGGAGGATGGGAGGATGAAAGGGGAAAGAGAGGGAAGAAGAGGAAGTGGGCAGTCTGCTGATTGGTTGGTATTTTAGCCATTTGCCTTTCATATCCACATGTGTGTCTTTGTTTCAGGACATGCAATATATAGCTTATCAACTGAAGTTTATGGTTATAGGGAAAAGTGGCCAAAGATAAGTAAGCTATTTGTATTCATTCTTTTTCTATTTAAGTATGTAAATTCAGTTCTAGACGTGATGTGGTTTGAAGATTTGAGTAAATGTAATTGGAAATAGCAGTTTTAACCCTTCTGTTAGCAAGCATAACAGAAAGCAGAAGTTTCTGAAGCACTACTAATTGCCTTGCACCCTTGGGCTGTCCTGGTGGCTGATGTTCATGTGTGGATACTGTGGGTTTTTTTTTTTTTATACATGGTGCAGCTTCACCAGCCATCACCAAACACAGGCAGTACACTTGGATGAATGTGTGCATTTTAAATCTCATGTAGTTCCTTCTATAATCCTGGGAGATTGATGGTGTTAGTCTATTTCAGATTCACTTTGAAAAAGACACAGTTTGATTTGATTTAACATGGGTAATAGCACTGCTTTTTGTTCTTTACTTCGCTCTGCTATTCTGTACTCATTTCCATTTTTTTTCTTTCTCCTTTTCTTCCTTCTCTTGTTTCTCTTCTGTTACATAACTGGCTGTTTGTTCTTTTCCCTCTTTCGCCCTCCCCCAACCCCACCCTGTGCCACAGTTTTAAATACAAATTTAAAAGAAAGCGTATGGCAATCTGTAGTTTTTAAACTAAAAATTTGTTCACACATCTATGAACAAACATGTTTTTAACTATGCAATGTGTGTTGCTAACTATTTATGTATTTGGGTTTAAATGGACAAAATGCTGGCAAAAGTTTTTTCAAATCAGATTTGCATAGCCTGACGCGAGGGTTCAGGTTATCTTCAGAGGAGTGTTTATCTGCTTTTCCAGCTCTGCATTAACCCCGGAGGAAAGCAGGTTTTAACTAGGCAGTTGTCAATATGTATCTGACAGACTAAGCCTTTGCACTTGTCTGGCATTAACTCTGTATAAGATGGCATGGTCTTTGGAAGACTTTTTGTCTTCGTGGTTGATAATGTTGCTGATTATTAAAAAATGTGTAAGGAGTGTGAATTCTCTATCTGAACTATAGTTCCAGGAAGCAAAAGGACAAAGGTCAAGCAAGACATCCCTTACAGTTTTTGACATTTAGTGTTAAAGGATGATTTGTATACATTTTTTCCAACCCAGTAGAACTGTTTACAGAATTATACTATATAATATTATAGAGTCTTACAAAGAATTATTCAAAATATAAAGCTATGTGAAAGGCATATGTATTAGTTAGAATTTCTTCAGTTTCCAAAAATAGTTTTTAAAAAGAACTGACTGTGTAATTTGAACGACCCAAAGTAACAATGAAAATATAGGGTGTTTTTGCTAAAAGTAGCAAAACTGATATTTTATGGTACTGAGATATAAAACTTTTACATTGTCTCATGGTCTCTCTCATTACATCAATGTATTTGGTATTTAAAATTTAATGTCACTCCATTGGGCACTTAGAAGCTTTAGGTGATTCTGGGTGTAGCTTACTCAGGCAACTTCCTTGGCCAATGTGTCTTGGCTTGGGGTGGAGAAGTTGAATAAGGTATGTCACTTAGATCAACCACAACACCCGATCCACAGTAAATGGTAAGATGGAGACTTCCTGAGACTATTGTAGTTTCTATACCAGTTCCCTGGACCACCATTGAATGCCCTGGGGTGCTGACAATTCACCACAAGCATACACCCACCATATTCCTCCAAGAGACACTCGAACTTCCAATATCTGTGCGCAGGATCATCCCTGGGAATTAGAGGATGAGTGGAGATGGACAAACAGGGAAGAACCCATGTGGCACAGGAGAGTGAATAGTGGAGAACCTAACCAGGCGATGCGAGGAGGTGTTAGGTGATGGTACTGCACGTGAGCTAGTGCTGAAAGCTCCAAGTGCATGCTCTGTTGTCCCATGGAACCTCATTTGCAAGACACAAGATTACACATGGACTTTCTAAGAGCTGCAAGATGACCAAAAGCTTTAAACCCCAAAGAATGGAGTCCTTCCTAGTGAGGAGTTCTATGCAACGTGCCTGAGTGCATTTAAAGCAGGAACAAATGAACAAACCAAATTTTTGTGATCTTGCTAGTCAGGTGTATCATAGGATCTAAGGACAAAAAAGTGTTGGAATTTAGGAAAGGATTACTCCAAGAGTTGCTTCACAGTGTTCTTCCTCTTTTTTTTTTTTCTCTGCTCTTTTGAGTTAGGCCATACTTCTCTCTCATTGAAGAACTCTCTGTCTCTCAAGGTAGGATTTTGTTTATATACATGATTGAGGATTATTTCCTCTATATTGCAGTTTTGGAAAGTTATTCTTTTCAAAAAACCTGGTGGGCATTGATTCGTATTACACAGTCACCAATGATAGATGTGTTATGAAAAAT